CGTTGGATGTGATGATGATGATTTTGCTATATAAAAGTGTCTTGGAAACTAAACACAGCAATTTATTATAATAGAATACATGTCATGAAAGACGCCCTCTCAGGACGTGAGCAATATTGTATCGACAAAATTGGCCAGTGCCAAATGTCAGAGCCTTTTTTTCTCAAAACTTGTTCTTTTTGCTTTAAAATGTATTCAAATATTAAAAAATTTATTAATCAACATCATTATTAGTTTCTCCATGTTTATTATACTGCAATCACAGTTAAGAATTGAGATTTGATTTTAAGCCATCAAAGACATTTTTTATGTTTTCTTTTATTTTGACTGATGTATTTTTGTGATGCTCTTTTAATTTATGTTGACTCAAAAATTTCCACACAAAATGAAAACAAGATTCCAATTAGATAAAAAGAAGAAAGATGTTCTATTACTTCTTTATTATTAGTATATTAGTATTCAATGTTTCAACTGCATTCCTGACACTATGGGCGCTACTGAGATCAGGCTCATCGGGGTTTGGGGGTTTGAACGAACCCCGCCGTTTGCTAACTGGCTCCACTTGGATGGCAAAAAAAAAAAAATTAAAAAAAAACAAAAAAAAAAACAAAAAACAATCCTGTTCAAATAATCTTTATAGACAGTAGCAACTTTTTACAAGTTTCAAGATGGAACTCTTAATTATTTATGTGGTCAGCGCAATGTTGGTCGTTTAACATCTTCAAAAGGCTCCACTTTTTCCAAATTTGAAACCCCCCAAAAAAATCCTAGTTACGGGCCTGATCAGTGACATATAAATTAGGAGTCTGGAAATGTTGGGCTGAGGGAGGAGTGAAGGTAAATTGGGGGGAGCTAGCTCACAAAGATAAGGTGATTTTTATCTACTTGAGATAATTGATTTCTTTTGCTTCGAACATTATCAATGGAGGAGGTGCAAGTGTTTAGAGAGGGCGAGTGAAATCTGCCTCCCACAGGCCACTTTATATATGCCACTGCCATGATTTAACTTTTTATGTTAGAATTTTACATATGTACTGTTTTTTCTTTTAAACCTTTGGGTTTCCTTTTTTTGGACAAATAAAGTTTCTCTATTTTATTAAAATCAAAAGGTTAGGCCTACTGGGTTTTGCTTACAGCCAATGGATGTGTGCAAAACCTGCTTTAAAACACTTAATGGCTCCTGGGGAGTACTATCAAATCAACCAAGCATAGTGTGTAAGGCTGGGGTTTAGCCAGAAAAACAAAATAGGCTGCCCAAAATGGAAGCTAGTGGGCGTGGCCATGAGCCGATGGGTGGGCCACGCAACCTCCCAAACATAAGAAAAAAATTAGAAAATTATGATCTTTAGAGGGCATTTAAAGGTGTTTAAATGTTGAAATTTTGTCTTCAAAGATAGTGTTGAATTAGCTATCACAGAGATATTTTGGTTATAGTCACTCACATAATGTTTCTAGGCTATGCAGAATAATCTTTATCTATCGCCTTAGTCTAGTATACTGTAAATTCCAATCTAGGGCCTCAGAATCGACAAATAGGTCAAACCTACTGTATTTTGTTGACTAATAAAATTTAACTTGCGACGTTAACGACAACAAATCTTCTTTACGGTATTCATTAATTAATTATAACCAGAGAGTTACGAACACCACCAATATGGTCGGAGAACCGAATTTCAAGTACTGTACCTGTCTCTTATACACATCTAGATGTGTATAAGAGACAGATCTAAGCCTAACTGTAGGCCTACTCAAATACGGTGCCAGATTCAGTAATACATTAGGCCTACTAAACCAAATCTCTCTTCAACGCGTCATAGATGCTG